AGGCTTTGCCACCCTGGTTGCAAAATTACCATGTTGCTGGGAGTGTCTTCATCTTCCAGAGTGAAGAATGAATGGGGAGGTCATCAGAGCAAGTGTTAGTGTACTGTGGCACTTACTACTGATCAGGTGCCTTCGACTTTTAGTGCTCAAATTGATTGCTGTATTGGCCAGTTGTTTAGTGTCTGTTTGACTTGCAATTTCATATAATCCATGATCAGATTATCAGTGGTGTGCATACTGCATGCATGCCAATATGCCTTTGTAAGGATCAGGTACATATTTAATAGTCATTATTTCTGGGCCTTAGAGTGAAAAATAAAGATAGTACTTGAGGTATTGTACTGGTGGCTGTAGATACTTTTTCATTGTATATATGTGGCGTATATATTTTGTTTGCAACATGAAATTAAAGTGAATGTTTTAGGGTAAAGGGAATATTGATGTTTAACATATATTATGGTTTTATTTGTTCAACAATGATCATAATATGCCAATACAATGATATCGTAGTTTACTTTTTGATGGCATCCACTATTCTTTTATTCACTAATTTTGCTATGTATAATATGGGTACTACATAGACAGTTTTGAAACAAACCTTTATCTTATTTAAAGTTTTCGTCACTCAGGTCATTAAAATGCTGGGTCGAAACAGCCAAAAAACAATTGTACCTGTGATTATTTGAGGGTTGTATGTTCCCTGAGTAGCTGTGTGTACCTGACCATCATGTGCAGGACTGTCTTGTGTGTACATACATCCAGTAAACAATTAATTTTGCAGCTTTTCCAGTTCGTTTTCCAGTTAATTTTTAGCCGGTTTATCTAAATTATATTCAGAAGCCCACTGATAATTTATTTTCCTTATCATCTGAGCGTGGCGGGGCCGAGGGGGAGTGAATTTGGATGGTAAGGTCATCCGCCCTTGGCGTGCAGCAGGCCCCAGAACGGCCAGCCCCAGAACGAACGCCTGCAGTCCTTAGGTAGCACGCACCCAGGCATTGTTTCCTGGGGTCTCTTCTCCCAGCTCTTAGCCTGGCAGTCCCCCCGCTGAGAGCTCTAATGTATTCCAACATCCCACATAGTCTTCTGCTACCATTTTTCTTTCTTCAAGTAGATTAGAAGCCTTTATGGTGTAGGGACTTAGAATTTTGTTTCTGCTGCCTTCTGTTAATACTGGCTTCTGCCATGGAAGCAACCAGGATCTTTTTTTTTTTTTTTAAGTAAATATTGTTTCTTTTTTTTAAAGATTTTATTTCTTTAGAGAGGGAAGAGAGAGAGAGAGAAAGAGAGAGAAAGAAACAGCAATGTGTGGTTGCTGGGGGTCATGGCCTGCAACCTAGGCATGTGCCCTGACTGGGAATTGAACCTGCGATGCCTGGTTCGCAGCCCGTGCTCAATCCACTGAGCTACGCCAGCCAGGGCGCAACCAGAATCTTGATGAAATTTAGCAAAGGATACCCCTTTGTTTCAAGGACTTGAAAGGAAAAGAGTTGTTTTCTATTCTGTATCCTTTGGAGGGTTGCTCAGGTGGCCGAGAGCCAGTAAAATCTGGAGCCTGAGAGCTTGTTCAGGCCACAGGCAGACTTTCTGCTGACAGCTGACAAGTCCGTGTTTCTGTCTCATTAGACACAACAGCAGCAGTATTAATAGGAGTAAGGGTTCAACAGATGCCGGCTAATGTCATTGTTTGCCTAGGACTGTTCTAAATTATTCGGGTATATTTTAATTTACTAAAAGGACTTTGGATTCAGATTGCACATCTGCCCGTTACTTGGGCAGACTACCTCACCCCTCTGTACCTCAGTGTCTTCTTCTCTGCATTATAGGATCTACTTGAGGATTGAATGAGGTGTCACCGCCATATTAACTCAATCCTTATAGACCTTTTATTGGAGCTTGGCATGTGGTAAAAACTGAGTATTAAGTTTTCACTATTGAGTGGTAGTAAGAATTGGTACACCCTCTCTTTTAAATGAAGAAACCGAGGCATACAGAGGTTCCTTCAACAGACATGAGCTCTCTGTTGCTAGAGCGCCAGAGCACGCCCAGGTGAACACACCTGTGGAGGGGCACAGCCTGGATTGGACACAGGTTGGCCTGAGTGCTGTCCTCCTCTGCGTCCACACAAACCGGGGGTCATATGCTAATTAGGATCTGACGTCTCCCTTGGAAAACTAGAAAGTAAAGTAGCTCCAACTTGACCACTAGCCATAACGCACCCAAGACCAGCATTTGTCAAGTAGTATAGTAGCACAGTAAATAAATCACAAATCTGTATAATTTTACCCATTAAACTGCCCAAAAGAGGTCACTACTAGCAAAGAGTGAGTTGGCTCAGAGCTTTAAAAAGTGACTAAGAAAGGGCACGGCTGACTGCAGGCAGGCAGGTTCAAAGTCAGAGCTCTCCTTCATGCTTGTGTACCACTTACGTCTTCGTTTGCTCACTGGAAAATGGGGGTATCAGCAGTATACACTTTACGTGTGTGAAGGTTTTTTAAAACAAGTAATGTATGTTAAAATATTCAGTAGTCTTGGGCATGTATTAAACTATCCATGTATGTTAATGATTGTTGCTTTAGTGTTAAGGAGAAGGACAGTTTGTGTTGTATGAACTCTAATATATCAGAAAAAGTCATTTAAGTAGTTACCTTTTCCTTTGAAAACGACAGACATTAGTATTAGAAATTGCCTTATAAGAGGAATTGTGGACTCACTGATATGAATACCTTAATGAGATGTCTTATACCAAGTGAAACTTAATCCATGCTATTCTTCAAATGCATTTTAGTGTAAATTTTTTATGTATAGTTAATAAGAATGGTAATGAAATAGCAAATATGCTAATTAGGCATAAGATGGAGAACAGATGTTCTGTTCTGCCCATATTTGCTGTGTGAGGAGGTAGAAAGTTTAGCAATCCTTGCCAGGTCAGATAGGAACCTGGCTTTAACCGTTGGCCTGAAGCAGGTTTGAATCTTGTTTTTTGTTCACATGGTGTCTTTCATGTGACTCATCTCACTTAGTTTTTAACCACGTGGTCATGGTTGCCTCTGCTTTCCCTCCCTGCTTTAGATGTTTGCAGCTGTGAGAAGTGCAGTTGGCCCCTGTATTGGTAGTAATGTAAAACTTCCCACTTGAGGAAGTAGGAGCATACCGTATTTATCTCCATCTTGCAATGGAAGAATCTGAAACCTAAGGAGGTTGAGATTTGATTAACATCATGTAGCTGGCTGGTGACAAAAGTGGCTAGGACCAGTTCTCCTCATCATCTTTGGCTTTGTCCAGTGTCCCTGCCAGCATTCGCATGTTTGGTTCAAGCCTTGGTTTCTTGTTAACCATCCCTACCACCTCAGGATATCACCTGAGGGCCTCAAGTGACCATGTAATCTGCCTTTCATCATACTGTGAGGGAAGGCAGTGAGCTCTTGGGGAAGTAAGAGCCTTGCCCTGTCACACTGATAACTTTCATGGGTTTTCCTAGCTTTTCTTAGTTCAGAGGCATACAAGAAGGGAAAAAATGGCCATTCTTGTCTCTCCTATCTTAAATAAATTTCCATGGCATTTTCTCATAGTACAGGGAAGATTTTTTGTTCTTAAAGGAAATGAAACCCTTAGATATCAAGGAAGAAAAGCAGGCAGACACCTAAGGGCACAGACACCATTGACCTGAATACAAACACCCACTCTAGTTCAGCCTTCCTTCTCCCACCCAGGTCCCTGAGAGGCGAGCCTGCTCAGCGTACCCTCTGTGACTGGGAAAGCATCTCCTCCTTCTCTTCCTGAAATAGTTACAGTTTTCTGACTATTTACTTTCCCCTCTAGGCTCCTTAAATAAGGAATTCAGCGATCTACCTGCTCCTCCTGCAGCCCCTTATTCTCAGCCCACACATACCTGAATTTCTCTTCCAGTAGGTGTTGGAAACAATAGTCTTGCCATAGGGTTTTTCTGTAGTACTAAGAGAACACAACTACTTGATCCCTGACTTTAAGGAGGAGAGACTATTAACCTCAAACTGGTAGAAATAATAATGAAATAAAATATCAACAGTGTCTGGCTCTTTCCCCAGCCTCTGCCATATATATGATGATACAGAAACAAACTTTTTGCTCTTCATTTTGCTAGCAAATCGGAGTCTTTGATTAGGAAGAACGTTGTTGTTAACAATGTTAATATGCCTCATGTGAAAGTAGATTCAACTTGAGAATATGATTTAAAATTCTGTAGTAGACAAATCTTAACTGAATACACTTAACCAAACTGAATAAGTCAACAAGTCATTTTACCTTAGGCTCACCAATCTTTTAAAGTCCTCTTTATAACTTAGAAGATCAAATCCCAGTGCTTGCTGCTTGTTTTCCTCAGTGAAGCACAAACTTCCCTAACAATTTAAATGCAAAGCAGAACTAAGCTGTTCCTGAGCTGTTTGTCAGTAGCTGGGCAGTTTTCTCAGTGCCTTCTCTGACATGTTTTAACATGATCTCTTAAGGATTTAGAATGAGGATTGCCCTATTCTTTGTGGTACAAGGAAGAAATTGAGGTTCTTTTATCAAAACAAGGCAATTGGGATAGAAAATCACTGCTTTCTTTCTGGCCTCTTTTCTAAAAATAAAGTGTGAATAAAAGATTATGAAACTTAAATTTTGGATCTCAGAAAACAATTACAAGGTACTTTGGAATTGATTCATGTAATAAAGTAGTGTGATTAAAAATCATTTAATTCAAATGATTTCCAATATATCATTTCCACATTAGAGGGCAAGTACATACTTTACGTTTTCGGCCTGTGTGACTTGGAAGTGCTGACGCTCAAAGCACACATTGGCCCCTGTATTGAAAAGTGGTGCCTTCCAAAGAAGACTTCCATATCTCATTCAGTTAGTGTTCTAGCTCCTACCTTTTCTTCAGACCTCAGATTTCAGCAGAAGTGCAATTAATCTTAATCAGTGCTGTGTCCTATCAACCACGGTTTTTAAGACAATTAAAAAAGATTTTTATTTACCTTTCATTGCGGTAGCTGGCTGTCCATTCACTTGATACTCGTGTCTTCAAGTTGAAACAGGCTTCTCAACTCTAATTAAGAATAAGCCTTGAAGCTAAGGTTGGCAGTGATGTGGATTTTCTGGTAAACCATGAAAAATCAGCATTTTTCTCCCCTGCCAGGGAAGGTGGGTGCTTCCCTGCCCGCTTGGAGATACTCCTTTGGGGCACTCTTGCAGAGTCTCCTGCTCGGGAACGACTGGAGCAACTCGCTCTCTTGCTAATGTCAGTGACTCACGTCTAAGACTAGGTGATATTTGTAGGCTGTGGAAGAGTATTTCCTGAACCTGCAGGAGTCAGACGGTGAGTCACCTGCAGGGAACACAGAGGGCTGGAACTCAGAAGGCCAGAGGACTCTTTGAGGAGGAGGAGATGAAGGCTCAGGTTGGGCCCCACTCAGTCAGGCTCAGGTTTAGTTCTTCTTTTCTTTTTTTAGGTGGGGGAGAGGGAGGGGGTCTTTCTATTGCTAATGAGAAAATATTTATACATTTACAGCCTGCTTGCTAATTAAATTGTGGCTGAAAGGAATCAATATATTTTATGAAAGACAAATCCTTTGAAGGTATTATTTTACATATTATTTAAAAACTAGAATTACAATGTGTTTTTATATTAGTAATTGATAACTTTGGAAACCTGTAGTCTTATGCAAGAATATGATGAAATCTATAGATCTATTTTTATAAATACACAAATATACTTAAAATATTTTAAATAAAATTTATTTAGGGGGAAAGTTCATGAACCTTTTGAATTTCATTCTTTGGGCAAGGGCTGGGGGTGGTGGTGGAATCCGTCCTGTTTTCATTAAAGAGAGTTAGAAAGAGACTACACCTGGCAAACACGGGGTGAGCTACTGGCCAGAAAGGTGGGGTGGCCTCAGGCCCTGGGGATTCAAGGGCAGACTGATGGCCTGGGAGGGGCCAAGGAGACCAGGTCCTGGGAGCAGCTAAGGAGGTGCCTGAAGGTGAGCTTTCGGTACTGGGGTGATGAGGTGGTTCTGCAGGGGTTACAGGTACATCAGGTTGGCCTGGACTCTCCCTGAGGCCACCCTGTCCTGTCTGGCTGTATCATCCACTGGTTCTGCTCCTATTCGTTACCTTCCATGCCCCCCTCCTTGACCTCTCCATCATCAGGTAACTCACTATAGTCCATCTCGCCCATGTCCTGCATGTCCTCCTCATCCTGTCTGAGTCCTCCTCACTGTCCTCTTCCTCAGCACCACAGTGCTCTGAGGCTGGCCTACCAGTGGGTAGCAGGAGGTTGTCTTTCCCTACGATGCTCTGGAGCCCGGCCTGGTGCTGCTCTTCTCGTTGCCACAGCTCTGTCTCCTCCACACACAGCCTCGTCACATGGGGGGAAAGAGGGAATAAGGTGGACGTGCCTCCTAAATGCCCGCAACCCGGAAGCACTTGAATTTCATTTTTAAACACCAGATAGTTTTATTTTTTTTAAATCTTTCCACAGTGATACATTTGTATAATCAGATCCCTTTATCTTATTTATAGTTAGTTTTAGAATGTTCAGATAAAAGTCTTCTAGTGACTCCAAGATTTTCTTGAATGCAACATTCCAACAAATAAATAAAAATTTAAAAAGTCTAATATCATGAAATGGAATCAAAACCTGTTACTCTCACAGATGATGATAAATGAAAATAATAATCAAGATGGAAATGTTTTTGAAGGTAGTAAATCAACAATAGGTTTACTTAGTGTTTATTTATGCCTTATGGAAATAATGTGCCGGTATATGTACTATGTAGTTGATTTTCTTTCCTTGTTTGTACAGAAAAACATGTGCTTAGTTTAAATACCAATAGTTGGATATCAGAATTATGTTTCTTCCCTTCCCTTTTCCTAAACAAACAAAAATAGTCAACTGCAGTATTTGACTGTTTCATTTCAGATTTTCATTTCATTCTTTTTACTAGCTAAACCTAAGGAAAATCTCTGAGCAAAAGTTAGCTAGCTTGATAATGGCTCAAACTTCTAAGACCTTGCTAGAGTTACAAACAGCCCTTTATTTCAGTTTCGCTGTGCTTCATGCCATTTACTTCTTTCCTACAGATTCTGCCTTTAGCATTTGAAGCCAGCTCACTGCATCTTGGCAGGGAAGGTTGTGGCATGCAGACCTCAGTTTGAAATACTTGTCCTTCTTGGATTCAATTTTTGCCACTTGTCACTGTGACCTGTAAATGACTCAGGTACTGCTCTTAAGGTGAGACCTAACTGCCAGGTCTTAAAAGCATCAATTCAGAGGGGGAGATACCCCTTGTAGCCTCTTTAAAAGTATGTTGAGCAAACACCTTCTCTGCAAGTTCTGAAGATTATCATCCCAAATTTTCAGTGGTGTGTATAAAATCATATTAGGAAGCTTATTTGGACAAATATTTATAGGCTTCTGTTAAAGGCATAAAGGCAGTCTGTTACCTATCTGAAGTTTTAATGCATTTATTACTTGAGGTGACTTGTCCTACTAGGGGCAACTAACTATACTGATTTTTTTTTTTTAATGTCAAAGAAAATCCCTTATTATCAAGCTGCTGAAAATGTTTTTTAAAGATTTTATTTATTTATTTTTAGAGGGGAAGGGAGAGAGAAACAGAGGGAGAGAAACATCAATATGTGTTTTCCTCTCATGCACTCCCTACTAGGAGTAGGGAGCTGGCCTGCAACCCAGGCGTGTGCCTTGACTGGGAATCGAACCAGCAACCCTTTGGTTCTCACTTAGGTCAGCATTCAAACCACTGAGCCACACCAGCCAAGGCTGAAAATGTGTTTGATATACTTTTCTATGTTGAATTTGAAGGGAAGTGTTTTGATAATTCAGGATTATGGTGCCTGGTCTTGAGTGCCTTTTAAAACAGTCTCTGGAAAAAGGCCTACTTGTGGAAAGATTATGGTAGGCCTTTGTAGGCATGAAAAAGGACCTTGAGTTTGAAGAAGGACCTTGACTTTCTGTGTGTTGTTTTTACAAAGATCTCCTCATGGAGGAAGGAAGGGGCTGGTGTCCCATCACCAGTGCCGTAAGTGGCCTTTTTTTTCTCTCATCGAGGGTGGCCTGCGGTGGGCTTTCCCCTCCTTAATATAACAATAGGATTGTCCTATTTAAAAGTTTCTTTGTCCAGTGATGCAACTTAAGTTTAGTAATGAGTTAACATGAGGCATATGCATTCATCTTAAAGCATACTATGCTGGTCTCAAGTTGGGACTTGTTAAAGCTGGTCTTACTTAACATTCAAAAAGGAAAGTGTAGTACACGTTTAGTCATGAAAAAAGTGTAACGCTTTGATGAAAGAGCAGCTAAAAACCAGCCCATGACTTTATTATTGTTCAAATCACTGAAAGGTTAACTTGCAAATTTTTTTTCTGCCAATCTTTTTGTAGCAAGTCTCACATTTCATAAAAGCCACAGTAGACTTTATAACAATAATTATCTTGTCATTTTGTTGGAAGATCCTATGAAATGCAGGGAAGCTCTTTTAATAACATTGTTTAGCCATTACAAACCTGAAGTTTATTCGGAATACAGGACGACATCCTGGGATGTGTGTTTCTGCTTCTCTACCACCATAATGTTTAAAACAATGTTTTATTTTTTATTACTGGTGATTTTTCCCCCCACTATTATTGTTAAAGGTGTTAAACCTTCACACAAGTTGAAAAATAGTTCAAGTAGATTTTTACCTAGATTTACAAATTGCAATTTTTCATGTATTCTGCAGATACACACACACACACATACACACACACTTATTTTGGGAGGACCTGTGTGCAGTCGTAGTCACTGTGACAAGTGTCTCACTCCTCACTGCTTCAGTGTGTCTTTTTTAATAACAAGGTTATTGTTCTGTCCAAACGCAATAGTTACCAGTCAAAAGATTAATGCTGAAACAATATTTTTAAGTATTCCATTTACATTAAAATTTTACAATTTTCCAATAATATCCGTTATAATTTTTTTGTTATTATGGAATCTGATCAGTGGTCACATATTATATTTAGCTTTACCATCATTTTAGACTTATTTATCCTTTAGAATATTCTGTGTTTTTTTTTTTTTAACAACATTTTTGTTTAATCTCCTCGGCTTTTGTGAATTGCCTCACTCTGAGTCTGCTAGGTCCATTCTGTGGGATGTGTGGTAAGGGGATGCTTTTAAATGTTTCCAAGGCAGTTTGGTTTTATTAGCTAGAAGGCAACATTGGAGTTCGGAATTTTGAAGCTAAATAAGACTATCTTTAATTTTGTTTTGGACATAGACCTGGTTCATGGATCACTAATCACAAAATTAGTGGGTTCAAACTGACTTTTTTTTTTTTTTTGGTGTTTTGGATGTCTCATTCAACTACTTGTGGCTTCAGTGTTCTGCAAAATAAGGATTCTGGTTTAATCACAGAATTTTAGATAAGAATTCTTAACCTCATCTAAAATGGTTTTCCATAATGTATTCTTTTCTTTTTAATCTTCACCTGACACCATGCTTAGAGAAGGAAAGGGTGGGAGAGAGGGAGAGAAATATCAATGTGGGAGAGGAACGATCAATTGATCGGTTGCCTCCCATGTGCTCTTTGACCAGGGACTGAACCTGCAGCCTAGGCTTGTACCCTCACTGGGAATCAAACCTGTGGCCTTTCAATTTATGGGATGATGCTCCAACTAACTGAGCCACATTGGCCAGGGCTCAAAATATATTCTCTAAAAAAAGATTTTATTTATTAAAAAAGAAAAGGTTTTATTTATTTATTTTTAGAGAGGGTGAAGGGAGGGAGAAAGAGAGGGATAGAAACATCAGTGTGTGGTTGCCTCTCCCGCGCCCTCTACTGGGGACCTGGCCTGCAACCTAGGCATGTGTCCTGACTGGGAATCAAACTGGCAACCCTTTGGTTCACAGGTTGGCACTCAGTCCGCTCAGCCACACGAGCCAGGGCTTGAAATATATTAAAGAGACAGAAGCACTGCAGGATAGAATATGTTTCTAAGATCTTACAAGGAATGAAAATTAAGAAATATTATTGGTAAGTTTTTCTAAATCCTAGAATCAACCTTGTTCCTACTTTCCACCATTTTTGTGGGAGAATTAGCAAATGTATTACCAAGGTTTTCTTTGGTGTTCTAGTCATTTTTCCCTTGCATATGACTTCTTCTTCCTTCTCCTTTCTTTCTTTTTTTTTTTTACTTCTTTTCGTCAACATGGACCTGAAC